GCTTAATCATCTCTTTTCGGTGCACAAAAGCCTACATATGAATTCTACCGTCCATTACCAATATACTACGCAATGAATCACAGATTTATACTACTCAATTAATAAAACCTAGCCTACCTGGACACCAAGCATTTGCAGAGGGATTGTAGCTCGAAAACTGGTTTCCGGACGACGGGACGGTGGATTTGATCGAAAATCCGCAAGCTATCGACTCATTACGCTAGAAATCTCTTCCTCCTTCCTTCTCAAGCATAGAACAACATTTTGAGGGTTTCTGGGGTGATCCTCGCATCTTTTTGGTGTTTTTGTAAAAAGGAAAAAATCACACTTCGCGTTATTTACTTTCTGCCTCGCCCATCCCGCTTTGGCGGCCACTTATCCCACTAGAGCGTCGCCGCCCTAGCGGCATCTGGCACGCTCTGGCGGGCTGACAGACCCAGTTTTCCTGACATTTTTCATTTCCTAATTAACGACGGTTCGGGTCGTTACACCTACTTTGGGGCGTGACAAGTGACAACACCGACAAAATTTCAAGAGTCAACCGAATGTATATGTCTATTAAATATATTAAGTTGTTAATTGTTATGATTTATATATTTTTTTACGTAAATTTCAAATATATAAAAGACTAAGAAAATTAAAATAAACAAATTAAAACAGAGAAATAAAAAAAAAATGAACAAAAAGCCCTTGGTTGCAAAAGTAGGCAGCCCTCCATTTCTTTAAAAATCAGCCATAACCCAAATCCCTAACCTTCAAATTAGTTCTTCATTTCTCCAATGGCGAAGAAAAGCAAGGAGAAAGAAGACCGACTCAGTGATTTGCCAGACTCAATTCTAATTCACATTCTCTCCATGTTGCATGATGACGGTAAAAGAGTAGTGAGAAGCAGCGTATTATCTAAGCGATGGCAGCTTCTTTGGATGTCCGTTCCAGTATCACTTCATATCCAATGCCCTAAGTCGGAAAGGGATGTTCTTGATTACTTGTATTTCCACCAATAAGGAACTTCATTATTGGAGGTGTTGTCACAAAATCAGAGAATTTTGTGTCCTATACAATCCTGGCGACTCAGAGATTTGCTAAAGATGTCGATTTATGGTGTTATTTTGCAAGTAAACTAGCAAATGTTGAACATTTTAAACTTATATGTGAAGGTGGATATAAGTTTCCTCAGTTCGTATATAAGAATACGTCCTGGAGAAAGTTGGATATAATGTTTTGTATGGAATTGAAACCCTTAGCTGATGTGAAATGGAGTGGTATCGTTTCTCTTTCAATTGGATACACATATTTGACAGATGATGCCATGGAATAGATATTATCTGGTTGCCCTAACTTGGAGTGCTTGCAATTGGACCATTTTTGGGGATTTCATCGTCTGGAAATCAGCAACGTGAAGTCAAGAAAATTGATCATAGACAACTTAGAAACTGATGAATGTGATGTATGGCTTGATATAACAGCCCCATATATCCAAAATTTGAAAATTTTGGGATCTTGCCGAGGAATATACTTGAGAAATGTGGCTTCGCTTGTCACTGTGGTCCTTGAATTTGACTTTGATTTTGATTTTGAAGAGCAAGACCCATTGCAGAGAAAGGAGTCTACCTGTTTGAAGGAACTTTTTCAAAGCGTTGCCCATGTCGAGAAGCTTAAATTAGGTCCCTGGTGCATCCATGTTTATTCCTATTCATTAGTTTATTAACATTAATTGTGACAGTATTTAGGATAATCTAATGAATAATTTGGTGAGTACTCAATAATTACATTCTTTTACTGATCTTGTTGCAAAGTTGCAATTTGGTGTTCAACAATTTGAATGTCATTATTAAGTATGCAGCATTTCCTTGTTTTGATATATTCTCATTAATTTCTCTATATGGTTTATAAGTACTTGTCCATAATGGAATTGGAAGGGTGGCAACCTCCACCATCAACCTGGAAATTCTTGCAGCTTCGCATGAATTTGAAGCAATTAGATTTCCCTGGAATTTGCTGTTTTCTACAGAGTTCATCAGATCTTGAGACTTTAGTCATTGATGGGTACAAAAAATCAAGAGTAAGTTCCCTTTGGACTTTATTTTTGTTACTTCATGTTATCAATATCAAATAACTATTAGTGAAAGAAGACGAGGATATATATCCACATATTTTTGACATCCAGTACACTAGGAAAGGAATCATAAAACTTAATGAAAAGTCACCTTCGTGAATAGTGATATACTTCATAGATAATGTTAAAAGGTTACAAGGAGGGGGGATTTGACTGATGAGAAGATTTGTAAGTACTTGGTGAACTATACAATAGCTTCTAATTTGTGGAGACTTATTTGCTCCCTTGTGCATTTTTTCCATAAGAACTTGAAAAAGTGAGGAGTTTTCTCAAGTAACATGTGTGCTCACAAAAAGATCCAATTGGGAAGGGAGCTGCCATTTGTCAACCCTTGTTTGCGTCCAATAGATGACTGTATCCAACTTAAGAATCAGCCACCCCGTTGGCTTCTCTATAATAGTGTGTCACCTCGACTTATGAATCAACTCTTTATGTCTTTCAATAATAAGTTCATATTGCCAAGAAGGTTTTGCAACTTGCTTGACAACATTCACAATAAGTTAAGAGTTAGCTTCCACCCAAATTCTTCTAATACAATGTTCAAAACACCATTTTAGCCCATAGGAAGGTGCAAATGCTTCAGTATCTTTTGATCAAATTTTGCTTTTCTATTCTCAAAAGTGTGTGGATTTCTCTTTGTTAAATCTGATGCAGTGGCATGCTTATTATTCCTTTTTCTTGTAAGACGTTCAGAAGAACTTTTTTGTTCTCTCAATTTATTTTCCTTCATAAAATAGTTCTGCTTGTGTTGCTTTGATTCATGTTGTCACTATCAAAATAGACTCTATGAGTAAACTTTTTGTAGTTGTTGGAAAAAAACGTTTAACAAGTGATCAGATGCTTTGAACATCTTTTTATGCTTGCATGTACCACATTGTAACATTTGCTAAGTACTGTGATGTTCCTTGAATTTAAAAATTATCACCTTTGTACTTTATTGAGAATTAACTCCTTGGCTTCCGGCTTCTATCTAAGGATAATAAAATAGGTTAATATAGTGGATTCTTTCCTACATGACCTGCTGTTAAAGTACACAAATAAGGATGAACAGACAAGGAGGTTTGAGACACATGATTTTAACTCCTCATTTCCACATTTGAAGACCATCAAGATCCTTAACTTTTCTAGATATGTGATGCCATTGGTGAAATATTTGCTCAAGCATGCAACAGTGCTAGAAAAGTTCATCATTGCTGCCAGACGCAAAATGTGTCTCCGAATTACGTCAAAATGGAACAGGAGCTCCTGAGCTTTCCAAGATCCTCTTCGCAAGTATCAGTTATCTTTTCTTACTGAAAACCGTGGACCCTTATCGTTTGTTTTAATCTCAACATACTTAACATCTGTTACTTTATGTTTGAAACTGGTTTGAGTTGATAGACAAGGCTTGGATTGCACTTATCAGTGTGTTCATTCTAAATGTTTTGTGATTTCAGTTCATACTGCTGAATCTTGATCATGCCTTTATACTGAAAATTTAAGTTTTGAGAATCATTTGCGTTGTTCGTGCCTAACACCTGGCCCTGTTTCCGGCTCTGTTTTGAATCGAATGGCTGCCCAAGAAGATTGGTGCAGCATTGTTCTTCCAGGCATGAAGAGTGTGTTGAAGGTGTACACAATAGCCCTTAGATTGTAACGTCAAACTAGAGTATATTATAAGCTCTAAATTGATACTACTAGGTTTTATTATTTTTGCAAGCTCATATATTTTGTATATTGTACAGACTAGGTTGATTTTTATTACCAAAGGGCGTATATATTCGTTAGAAAAAAGTTTTATGATTGTTGTTTAAGTACTATTATATGTATGAGCACTGATTCATCCTTTTTTTAGTCAGCTATATTTTTTGCAACATTTGTTTAGACAATCTGCTTTAAGATGTCTCTCATTTTGTAGTTTTCTCTCCTTGATTCTTTAGTCGTTTGCTCGACTACTTTAACAGACTCGTTGAACTTAGTGGCCTCGTTGTGTAGAGAGAGATCTCGTTCTTCTTTAACTCTTTTTTTAAACACGCGATGAAGCACATTTCTTTTCCATTCCAAGCCAAAAGGACTCATTTGTCTCTAATTTCAATATGTTTATTGTATTCCTATATATCACATCACATTTCTTCATAACAACATGATTTTACTATAACGATCAATTGATTTTCATAGTTGTTATTGTAAATTTCATAGTTTGTTATTATTAAAGACCTCATATTAAATTGATTTTCACTACGTAAACGGATAGAATTAACTTTATGTTTTTTTTTCCTTTTATCATTTTCTCAAATGTAACACGTGAATGTGAATAGGGGTGACTTAACTATAAGTTAACTGAATCAATGACTTGTTCCTCTTAACTTTTTTGGGATTCGTTTTTTTTCTAGGAGAAAATACAATATATTTTTTACCTTTTAATATGGGATTATTGCTATAATTGTAAATGAAACAGTGTTTTAAGTAATTATAATATTATTTCTTACATGGATATTTATGAATATGATTAATAATCTATTTACCTTTTCTATTTTTCCTTTTATTATCCTTATTATTATTGACTATTCTGAAGTCTTTCAAACAATCAAATCTTCTGCATTTTGTTAAACTTATTATTATTTACTTATAAAAAAGATCATAATTTATCCTTCGTTGCCTTCTTTAAGATTCCAATAAGCAATATATTGAAGCATTGCAATACTATTTTGGTATTTATTAAGTATAATAATCTTTCCTTTTAGAAAAATAAAATAAAATTAAATGGTCTCTTTAAATTTTGACTTTTAGCCCCGATGTTTTACAGTCCACTTTCTTGCCTTTACGCTTTATTGGAACGCTACACTATTCTGATTCTTTAGTAGATTCTCTTTTTTTTCTTCATAAAGTCGCGACCTTTGTTAATTACCTGAATTTTTTATACCACACTTTCCTGGTTCATCAAACGCAGCTCTTAAAATTATATTTGATTACCATTGCAAGATGACGTATCCTAATGGGGAAAATTCGACAGAAAGGTGAAATTTTTAATCTATTTTTAGCTTTTATTTGTCAAGATTTGATCTGGGGTGGTATTTTTGTTGATTGGTATAAGAAAGAGAGTTTTTTTTGTTGCATTTTCCCCTTTCTTCTGAGGAAAATTATGTAGAAAGGTGTAATTATTAATCCATTTTTAGCTTATATTTTCTGGATTAATTTTAGTAGTTGGCTTGATTTGATGTGGGATCTGATTTGTTGATGCATTTTTACTGATTGGAATAAGAGTGAGAGTTTCTTGTTGCATTTTCGCCTTTCTGCAGGGGGAAGTACTGTAGAAAGGTGAAATTTTTAATTCTAGTTTTAGCTTCTATTTGGTGGATAAATTTGAATGTTTGGCAAGATTTGATCTGGGGTTTCATTTCTTGATGGACTTTTACTGATTGGTAAAGTAAAAAGTGTCTTGTTGCATTTTCCTCTTTCTGCAGGGGACAGTTCTGTAAAAAGGTGAAATTTTTAATTCCATTTTTAGCTTCTATTTGGTGAATAAATTTGAATGTTTGGCAAGATTTGATCTGGGGTCTGATTTCTTGATGCATTTTGCTGATTGAATAAGAATCCGGGGTTCTGCTTTTGTATCTTTTGATTTTTCATGAATATGCTTAAGCTCCCACATTTTTGGTCTTTATGATGTGAGCTAGTTGTTTTGACGACTTCCTTGCAAATTATTGAATACATATATATCTCCATATGACTATTTAGAAAATTTTCATCTATTACTTGGAACTTGTGAGATTCTTCAATCTGATTTGTGATCCAAACAATTGATCTCAATCTCTTTGTTTTGATACTTTGATGTTTGTATCTGATTGAGGTAAATGAAAAATGTGTTCCTTTGGCTAAGCAGATCTGTATCTTCCTTTTGCCACTGGTTTTCTTGTATTGTTTTCTCTGATTCAAAACTCAATCTTCTTACTTAGTTTTCGATTGATCAAATAGGATCTTGGGCATGTTAGCAATTTCTTCTTTCTGGTTCATAAAATATAAGGCGAATGGGTTCTGTTAACTTCATTTAGTTGAAATTTCTTTCGTTTATATGATGCGCTTACTGTTTTATCCTGACTGATATATGACTTTCGTCATGACTATTGGACCTGGGGTTATTACACAATTTAAACTTTGTGCAGTCTATTCTCACTTTGTATTCTCTGACTGAATGTTTCTAAAATCTATAACCTGTTTGCAATGCCTAGAAACTGTACTTCACATCAACGGCAATTTAAGTTCGTATGATGTATGAGAAAATGTCTGGTCCAGACTCATACGTAAAAGAAAAATGATAACTGGATAATTCCTAATTGAGCTTGAGATGGATTTTGTGCTAAACAGTTCCTGGTATTGCCCCTATTGAATAGAAATCACAATCCTTCCTAGAAAGCGCAGCGACTTAGTGCACATTTAACTTGATTTTTCTCAAAATATGAACTTCATTATATCTTTGAGATACGGTTATCATCAATGCTTCATGCTTTTCATAATCTCCTGGTCCTCGTATAAAATGTTCAGGAAAGAGAATTACTAGTGTTTAATATTTTATTCTTTGAGAATGTATCAGAGGCAGTTCAAAATTTAGAATCAATGAATTCTGAATGGGTATGGATGTTTTTCAAATTGTTTTTTGAAGGACACGTATGGTCCTAACTCAAGAAAGTTGGTGTCATTTCACCAAATGTGTTATACGTAGATTTGTCCATGGAATGTATAGCGCTACATTGCGTTCTGTTTAATATTACACCAAATTGTGTTTGGAGATTGTTGTGTTTTGAAGACAGAAAGCAAAGCTAAACTACTATATTTTCTCTTAGCAGTTCACCTCTCGCGGTACTTGCTCCCCTTCAAGCAGTTCTATTTGACGTAGACGGAACTTTATGTGATTCAGATCCTCTTCATTATTATGCCTTCCGTGAAATGCTTCTAGAGGTACCGACAATTATTTACCTTTCCTTCAGAGGAAATCATTCTTATATGTTTTGACTTGTGGAATGCTCCCCTGTGGCTCATTGCTAATCCTTAAAATCTGGAATATGTCAAATCATTTCTCATAAGTCATAACTGCTGGCGATTTGTGTTCTGCAGATAGGCTACAATTGTGGTGTGCCAGTTGATGAGGAGTGGTTTATCAAGACTATTGCTGGGAAACACAACGATGATATCGCATCTGCCCTTTTCCCTGATGATCAGGAACGGGGTCTTAAATTTTGTGATGAAAAGGAAGCTATGTTTAGAAGGTTTGGAACTCCCTGCTTGTGTATTTCAATTGACCTTGTGCTACTAAACCGTATGTTCAATTTCACTCCTCCAGTCTCATAGCTGTTTTCGGTGCAATATAGGTTGGTGAAAGAACAGTTGAAACCTATAGATGGTGTGTACAAGGTGAAGAAATGGATTGAAGATCGTGGACTAAAACGGGCTGCAGTTACCAATGCACCTAGACTAAACGCTGAACTGATAATAGAAATACTTGGCCTAAAGGATTTCTTTGATGTTGTTATTATCGGAAGTGAGTGTGAACGTGCAAAACCATCTCCTGACCCTTACTTGAAGGCCCTTGAACTGCTTAAGGCGTCCAAGGAGCACACGTTCATATTTGAGGTCTGATTTCTTTATTGACCGCATTTTTCATTTACTTTATCTTCACAACCATTAAAACTCATAATCTGTCTTCTGTTGTTAGGATTCTGCTTCCGGAATAAAAGCTGGGGTTGCAGCTGGGATGCCTGTTGTTGGGCTGGCAACTCGAAATCCACCTCACATACTAATGGAAGCAAAACCTGCTTTTCTTATTAAAGATTATGAAGATTCGAAGCTATGGGCAGCTCTAGAGGAAATCGACACAAAGTCAGGTGCCACAACAACTACAGTCTGAGACCTACACATACTAGGTGAAAGATCTGTTATTGTTGTTGAGTTAATTGGACTTGCTTCATTGAAACCTTGGATTTTTTTTCATAAAGAGGGAAATGGTACTATCATTATTTTTCTTTCCTCCGTATAATCGGATGTACTAGTTTCCAACAGTTGATATTGATTTAAAAAATTATATAAAAGCCGGATATGGTGATTGTTCATAGACCATAGCTTGCAGACCTTGAGAATAAAAGTGATTACTTTATAATAACTTGTTTATTATACTCTCTGAGTCAAGATGCCACCTTCTTCATATCTGTTTGAATGCTTCTGGTCTTTGGTTCTTGTTCTTTTCCATTGCACATCTATGGCATAAGATGCACAAACAAGTATAAAAATTCCTTTCCATGTATGACCTGATAGCTAAGGAAAAGTCTTATATTTCCCTTGTGCAGTTGAATTCGACGTGGATAGACTTATAAATCTCAGGCTGTACAAGTACTTTTTGTAGCCTCGGTGTCATAATTCATAAAGCAGCCAATTGAATCCGACAGAATTCACACACTGCCAATGGTAAAAGATGGAGCATTCCTTTAAAATTTAGAAAAGCTAATAATGTATCTTAGTTTTAACCCATTACAAGATGATGCTCTATGGCTTTGAAAAGCATAGGTTTAGAGCAAAAAGAAACATTATCTAATTAGTTTGCAAATTATATACCCTTTCACATCATTTTCCCCATAATGTTGAATCTATTTCGTCTCTAGCAGACTTGTAAAGCTCAAGCCTTCTTGAACATTTCTGCCTCCGCTCCATCAAGACTGGATCTTCATTCAGTAACTGGGAGAGTCTATGACCCTACAAGTGGAAACAAAATCATTAAGTACCATCTACTAACTTTGAACCTGAAAGGAAAACATAACATAATTTTCAACCTCTTTTGTGAAAGGTCTTTACTGTAAGAGATTTTCAGACAATTTATTTGATACTTTATTTCGGCTAATTATTTGGAGAGTTTTGTGCAGAGAAGTGAAAAAAGGTTGTGTAAGTGCCTGTAATTGAATCAGCATTAATGAGCTTTCACCTAATGACATGTTCCCCAGTTTCATGAATAGATCATCATTCATCAACTATTGATTTCAGTAAGATATTAAAGCATATGGATATCTAATCTCTGGAAGGTATTAAGCAGGATAAGTGAAATACCTCCTTTTTGCCCAGTTGCGTATAGAAATGATCAAGTAAACAACGCTTAGCTTCCCGAACTTGACAATAAACCACAGCCTTTGGTATTGTATTCCTTAAGGTATCAGACACCATCCCGACATATGAGGAAATGTTTGAGCCTATCCTGCGCAAGTGCCCCTCTGTGTAACGGTCAGCAGATGAAGAAATTGGGCTTCCACCCTTATCCGCATCTTGTGGAAGTTTCCGGAAAAAGTCAACAGTAAGGTATGAAGATTCCATCTCCACCATCCGCAGAACAGTCTTCTTGCTGTCACTGCGGAAACGCTCTAATGCTTCAATTGCAGCGGAAGCTATCTCTGCTTGAAGAGTTGGATAGCGTCTTAGTTCCTGCATTGAAAAATATCGATTCATCATTTGCCATTACATCATGAAGTAGTCAAAGGTTGGGAACTTGGGATCATACCTGAGTTTCCCCTATTGACTTCTTCACCAGCTCTTTCAAGATGAAGTGGACCTACATAATCAATTCATGGAGTTAAGTTGAAATGAGCAGTTTCAACAATTGGTTTGTCTTTTAAGTGGGGAAGAGGGGGATATGAAAATATTGTGCGCTCTCAAATTAGAGCAGCTTTTAGATTATTTGCTCATTTCTGTACTATTCCAATTCTGTAAGTTATGCAGTCTTGAGATAGAGCAGCTATTTAACTACTGGCACTCCCTAGCCCATGCAAAATAGAGAATAGTTCTCCAGATGACACTCTCTGTGGGGGCCAGTGTCATAAAAAGATCTTCTTAACCATAGCCACATCAAGTAATATGACAAAAATCACATCCACAGGATAAAAGCATAGGTGCAAGCAAGTACTTACTGCATCCACTGAGGCTTCAGCAGGACCCCTGAAATAATTAAGAGCACCATCGATAAGCCGTCTATAACCTTGCTCTGGTGCTATTAAATGAGGTTGATAGCCATCTGCCTCAGAGACAACCTTCCTAACATTTTGCATCGCGAGATGATGATCCAGTGGAAGCTTTCTTAAAGCAGCAGGGAGCTGGTAGTCAAAGACCCCATAAATGCGATCTCCTCCTGGCCGCCTACACAAGCAGAGGTGGAAGGCCAAGCATAAGGAACTTATAACAAACAAGTTCAACTTAACATCATTGTAAGGCAATGAAATAAATGTCCTTGGTTTTTAAGACACTATGCCTGAAATCAACTGAAGATGTCCCCAACTCCTAATTAATGTGACATCCATTAAATGGACAGTACTTGATATATGAATGAAACCAAACATTATGGGTTTCCCTTTACATGACAAAATAACAGTTGTGGTTGTGAAGACAGAAGGAAAATTCAGCAATGTTTTCAAATCAACAAGATTTTCCTTCTGTCTTCTTACAATTCACATTAGTTAAAGAAAAATGCATATTCTTACCCTCCTTCAAGATGCTCCTTGAAAATCCTATCAAAAGCACGGCACAGCTCTAATATGGCATACAACTGCGCCTGTCAATTTAGGCAAAACTAGTAAAGATATTGAATCAAGCACTAAGCATATTTTCAGAAAAGGAAAAGGTTAGTATCATTACACTTGCATCAATTGCAACAGGTCTCCCAAGATAACTCATCAATGCTTGTATTGATCAAAGACAAAATGGCTGGTACACGGGCCTTGATCACAGATTCTAGATGCTGGGAAAATAAATATTTGGTATCAGCATCGTATAACAAATATCAATTACAAGAATTAGAGATAAATCTTTCTTGAGCAGCTTTGGTAGACTGTGTATACTTTTGAGAGTAATTTTGCCAGATACTCTGAACCCATTCTATTGGCCAAATGTCCATACTCGGGACTTGTAGCAAAAAATTCACGCTCCTTACGCCTTGCAACAACCATATCAAGGTTTTTATTAATATCGGCCTGTGAACGATTGACAAGTCCAACCCAAGGATGTTGTAACCGATAAGATCTTCCTTCCAGAACCTTCATCACATAAATTGAAAAGTAAACAAAAGAGGATTGTCAGTATGATAGAATACAGCCCCAAAAAAGTAGCAATTATCCGCAATTGATGAAAGACTTGCCACAGCAAAGGTAACATACAACTACTGCTGATTATTAACAGAGAACTTTGAGTGTATTCATAAAGAGAACCTGATGAATGTTGCACAATCTTAAGGGAACAACCTGACAATTTATGTTTCAACTTCCGTTTGCTTATCGTTTGTTTCGAGAAATCAATCAATCAATTCTGATTCTTTCCTTTTGTCTAGATTCTTTTCTTATCAAGATATATGGATCTTGTTCATGAATTAACGAAAATGTGCACAAGCTCTATTTGCCTCTGCATCCTGCAGTTATTTTAGGCATCGAGAGGGCATGAATGCCTTCTCTACATTCAACCATTCATCAGTATCTATTTACATCAATTTTGAACTTCAGCATGGTATAACTTAATAGAAAGTTCTTGTCCGCCAATATACAGTCTCACAATGGAAGCCTGTAGCAAGGTATTCTTGCACATCAACATATGACAAAAATAGTTATATGCTTATCCTAGTACTGTGCACTGTGTGCAGACATAAATCTCACACTTAAGCAATATTAGCACTTCAAAAGAAACACATAATACCCAAATTCAAAGTGGTGATGGATATTGCAGATGACCTATGGAAGAATCAGCATGAAACATACTTTTAAGAAGTTCAGTGTTTTTTGTAAATTTAGAAGATTTATTAGGTATAAACAGACTTTTAAGAAGAGATCAGTGTTTTTTGTAAATTTAGAAGATTTATTAGGTATAAGCCTGTGTATTATAAACCGTTCATCGTTAACGATGTATCAGGGATTAAAAGATGTTGATTAATACAGAGAAACATAACTCCTCTTCAACAAGGAAAAACCAATTGTTAGGTAGAAAGGAAAAAAGATGGTACTTACATCCAATGCATTTGTTCCCTTGTCCATCAAATCAAGCTTTGTCAACACACCAATTGTACGTTCACCTGCATGGAAGTAACTAAGTTCTCCAGTGACCCTCAAAGTATTTTGCAAATGTGAGAGAAAGAGCAAAGACGGGGAAAATTAAGCAAGTGATATATTACGGCCAAGAAGACTTGAAAATATTACCAGCTGGATCAACTTCTCTAGCAATCTTTATAGCATCAGATGTTGCAACATCCTGATTGGCTGGGGTAATTGCTAAAAGAATACAGTTTGGCTGCAATGCAAGAACCGAAGTTTTGTCAGTCAGTTCCTATAAATGTCTAGGGAAAAATTTACAAACTAAGCAATATCATCAAAGTCTATATTCAGTGTGGCAGGATCATAATTCTCTAAATGCTAATTTATCATCTCAAAGAGGCTACACAGTTATAATTTGTTACTCAACAAAGACATGCTCTGCCTCTCAGCATATTACCTTCTCAACATATGAGCGAACCATATCTTCAATTTCCTGAACTATACTTTCAGGCTGTCCCTCTGTCGACAACCACATATGCATTGAGCAAAATAGATCATGAAACATGTATTTATGGAAGACCAATAACATGAGAATGAAGAAACATACCAACAGCAACCTTTGTTAAGCCAGGTAAATCTACCAATGTCAAATTGACAACTGCAATGAAAACCCAAGATGAGTTATCTTATTGAACCAATAGCCAAATCAAAATCCCAATATTGAGTCCTATGAATACCACCAAGAATCTATAGAGTAAAAAGCTAAAAACTAAAAATGAAGCAATTGCACTGTCCTAAAATCAACGACGGCTTAGATATGTTAATATGAAGTTCACATAAAATAACTTTTTTTTTAAGCACTATATGAACAATAGGTACTAAACACACACAACCTGGGGCAATACAAATGTTGTTAGCAATTTGCATGATAATGAACAGGATAGAAAGTAGTACTAAACTTAAGAAATTTCATAGCATTCAATTAGGGATTTTTATATTTTGAAAGCACAGAAAAATGCAACATAATGGGCATATATATGGTATCAATTATGCAAACCATCATAT